CAGGCCCTTACTTACTGCAGATAATATAGTACTTATTTTCTTCTTTACTATTTTCAGAAACCAGAGGTTTAATCTATTTTTAAAAGGCCTTATTGATCCCCTCAACTTAAAAAAAAAAAAAAAAGGAAGTGCTGAGAACTAATATACTTCTTAAAAATACCTTTGAGTTATAAGAATTTTCACTCTAAAAACCGCGGGAGGACTTCTCTAGTGGTCCAATGACTGACTGAGACGCCTAGTTCCCAATGCAGGGGGCCTGGGATTTGATCCCTGATTGGGGGAACAAGATCCCACATGCTGCAACTAAGAGTTTGTGTGTCTCAACTAAGACCTGGTGCAGCCAAATAAATATTAACAAAAAAGGGGGGGGGGGGGTGGCACAAGTCTTCACTCTCAACTTACCTAAATACACGATTCTAGCAAGTAGTTTTGTAACTCAACACATAATAAAAGCTAGGGGGAGTGGGTCTAAACAAAGCAAAGCCCATTGACTAGAGAGGACAGGGAAGGAACTTACTAAACAAAGCAAAGCAAGTGAGTCTATTAAAAAGCAGGGCATTTAGGAATGCCCAACTGCCAATGAGAACCTTAAGACTCAAGGTAATACTGTTCACCAATGACAGCCAAGAGTCAGGAATGAGACATTCTGGTGCACTCACAGCACTCTGAAAAGCACATAAACTCTGGTAAAAAACCACACTGAAAAACAACATGTTCACCATACTGACCTTTTTGCAGTAGATTCTACATCCATTTCTTTAAATTTTTACTGATTAACAACAACAAAACCTTGACCCTGACAGTGGATAAAGGGAATATGGGATACTCCTTACACTACTTTTACATCATTTTTATAAACCTGTGAACCTAAATCAAATGTAGAAATTACTCCCCGAAAAGCTTTTGAAAACACTTAATGTACGTATTACCAGGTCAGGGATATTTTTCCTTTCAATTTTAACTATTAAATTTACTCAACACCAAAATTACAACATCTTAAAAATAATAAATTTACAGAGTCAAGTGTAACTTCATACACTAAAACAATATATACAAAACATATACAAAACAATGTGAAAGTAAGTTATCATTTAGAAAAACTACTAGAATAAAAGCTACTATTAAATTTCTTGTAGAAGCCAGTATCTTAGTCAAAAAAAATGTAATACAGCAACTGCTTTACTATGAACCAGGCACTGTGCTTAATACTTCACTTTCATTAAGAACTCAAAGGAATTCTGTAAATTTTTTATTGAGTTGGCCAAAAAGTTCATAACGTCTTATGGAAAAATCCGAACAAACACTTTGGCCAACCCCATATTTTCTATAATTTGCACGTTAATCAACTCGCCCAGGGTCAAACAACTAGGAAACTGGAACCCAACGAGAGACCATCTCATTGCAGTCTACCAATACTCCTGCTTCAAACGATCTCCTGCTTCAAAACCTAAAACTCTTGTCACTCAGCTAATTCCAGTATATCAGAGACATCCATCTTCTCTTTCTCAAACCTGTTGTTTTATCAATATAAGAAAATAAAAATGCTTGCTCTCAAAAAAAAGAATGATTACTAACAACTGTTAACACACTGAACACTTATGCTGTTCTAAAACTTCTACATATTAACTAATTTAACTCTAAAAACAAGCCTAAGATAGGGACGATTATTATTATTCCTATTCTACAGGTGGGACACTGAAGCCAAAATTGACAAAAGTCACACTGGTAACAGTATTAGACCCAAAATTTAAGTTGAATCTCAATGTCTGCTCTTAGCCACTTACCCTAAACTCCTTTATACTGAGACATCATCATGTTATCTTTGAAACATACAGAGAGCATTTCAAATTCCTATGAACAAAGTAAAAAAGCAGCTAGTAATGTTCTGGAGCAGAGGTTGGCAAATTACAGCCCACAGGCCAAATCTGGCCAACTACCTCATTTTGTAAGTTTCGAAAGGGCTGATTTGGCCGTTTTTTTTTTTAACCCTTTAAGAGCTGACCTGCAAAACCAAAAATATTAACCATCTGGCACCTTGCCAAAAAAAAAGTTTGCTGACCCCTGCTCTGAAAGATGACACCATGTGCACCTTCCCCTAAAGAGTCAAATTAACATATATTTTATCATTATAAAAAAGTAGCAGCAGCTACTATTTATCAAGTGTATACTATTTTTGAACGATCCTAACAGCACGCATTTATAACCAAGAAAACTATACCTCAGAGAATTTAAATGACCTGCCCAAGATCACACAGCTAGAATATGGGGACCTTGTTTAAACAGTGTCTAGCCTTGAAGTCCATAATCTTTCTATACGACACTTCCTTCAAAACATATACATGTGCATAGCCGTGGAAAAGCAACATTTTCTGTAAAAACTGATTAAAATGATATGATAAAAATGTCAACTTTCAGCCTGGATGGGAGGGGAGTTTGGGGGTGAATGGATACATGTATAGGTATGGGTGAGTCCCTTTGCTGTCCACCTGAAACTATCATGATGTTATTTGTTAATCGCTATATCCCAATACAAAATAAAAAGTTACCAAAAAATGCCAACTTTAAGGAGAAATAAGATGTTCATGTAAATGTACGCACAGGTATTAATCTTATTTTCTACTATATTTATATTTTTGCTGTTATTCCAATTGGAATTCTAATCCAGGGATACTCAAAGCATAGTAAGAATATGGCTATTTTCCTTATGTAAAAATATGGGGCAAAGAACTCATTAAAATAAACACAGAAAGCAAAATATATTTACTTAGTACATTTAACTCTCCTCTGCCACTTCTGAAAACTGACACCCTCTTCTGCTACAGACTCATCCACCTTCACACATTCCCTGTCGAAAATGTCCAGCTCATCCACTCACCTCTCCATCTCCACCCCACCCAGCTCCCCACCCTACACCCTGAGACACTCCGTTAACATTAACCTATGTAAAACATCAGTGTACCAAGGAAAGAATTCAATAGAAGGGAGCTGCTGGCACATTAATTCATGAAGTCTTTTTTATGATGATGATGTTAATCTCCCACACTACTGGACTGATTTAGCTCACTATCAGGCTATATTATATATATTTACAGTGAAAGCCATATCACAAAGATAATAAGAAACTGAATCCAGAACTCAGTGTGGGCAAATATGCATGGATGCAGCTAAAACAACTATTCTGAGAAATACCTTGGTAATATTTTTACTGTATTCTCCTTTTCAAACAGATAGTCACCTGATGAGGCATCTGAGTAATGTCTCAGAATTTGGCTTAAGAGTTTCTATGATTAATTTTGTCCCTGAGTTTACCAACCCCCTCCTAATAAAACTATAAACTCAAGTTCAAGGACCACATCTGTCCATCTTCATAATCCCAAACCTTAACCTAAGGCTTGAAATAGTGACCAAAGCTGCTTATGAATACATATCATTTGCTTATTATTCACATACATTAATTCTATCTCCACTGCTAACTTCAGACTAAGTTCACTGAGAACAGAGATGTTTTAAACGGTTCTTTTCTAGGTTTGAGAATATTGCTAATACAATTCAAGAAATAACTTTAAAAGATCAATGCCCACCCACAGAAAAAAGATCAATGTAGTCATTGCTGAAACCAAGATAATTTCTTCCCTTGTATCATAATGCTAATAATAGCCCTTAAACAGAAATAATTGCAGAAATTTTTAGAAAAATGGTTTTACTAAGTCCTGGATTTCACATTTCTTAAAAGTACTATGGATTAATCCACTCCTAACTTTAAAATTCTTTTAAGTAATATGGAAACTTCCCAAATTCTTTGTGTGTGTGAAAGTCGCTCAGTAATGTCTGACTCTCTGCGGCTCCATGGACTGTCCATGGAATTCTCCAGGCCAGAATACTGGAATGGGCAGCCTTTCCCTTCTCCAGGGGATCTTCCTAACCCAGGGATCGAACCCAGGTCTCCTGCATTGCAGGCGGATTCTTTACCAGGTGAGCCACATGGGAAGCCCAAGAAGACTGGAGTGGGCAGCCTTTCCCTTCTCCAGGGGATCTTCCTAACCCAGGGATCGAACCCAGGTCTCCTGCATTGCAGGCGGATTCTTTACCAGCTGAGCCACAAGGGAAGCCCAAGAATACTGAAATAGGTAGCCTATGCCTTTCTCCAGGGGATCTTCCTGACCCAGGAATCAAACCAGGGTCTCCTGCATTTGCAGGCAGATTCTTTACAAACTGAGCTATCAGGGAAGCCAAAGAAATACCTTTAAAAGATGAATACACACACACACACTCAATGCAGTGGTTGCTGAAACCAAGATAATTTCTTCCCTTGAACCTACTAGCCCAAATTCTTTACTATAGCATTAAATGTTTAAGTAAATTCAGCAAGTATCCTGAAAAAGTTTTGAGTTTCTCTAAATATAGCAAACTCGTTAACTGCATTAATTATAAATCATCTTAATTTTCTTTTAGTAACAAATTAACATACTGATTATAAGTAAACACATGACTGAAGCAGAAGGCCCATTCCACAGAACAAAAAGAAAAGCAGCTATTCCAGCAAACGTTAAGTTTCACCAAATCCTCAGCTGATGCAAGAAATATAAACTGAGTATCACCTTAAAGAGGTGCTACAACGAAAATCCCTTATGATGGGCTATTATCTCCAGTAATTCGTCTCAGTTGGACTTAGTTTGTGTAGTGAGAAGACACCTGGGGGGAAAAAAAAGGCATGGCCGAACTTCCAGGCAGCTGAAAGTAATACTAGCTGGTTAGAAGAGGCACAGCAGATTGCCTTACAGCACCACAGCAAAGGCTGAAATTCCCCAAGTCTAACCTCACTGCAGCAAATGGAAGGGCAAAACTTGTCAAGAGGCAGGGTGAAAAGACCAACTCTGCAATTAAGTCTAGCTTTATAACAAAAGTATTTTGAGGTCAAAAGGTAAAAATCAACACTAGCGTACCTAATGAGAGTTGAGAAATAACTAGCAAACAGGTCTGATCACAAAGTTAAGACTTACTCAATCTTCTCAGAAATGAGCCTAATTTTTGTTGCCGTCTGCTGGGAGAAGGGCCCAAATGCTGCTGGTAGAGACCAGGTCTGATCTCCTTTGGAGATTAAGCTGCTTTCCCTGGTTAAGTAGAAGAAATGGAAATATGTGCTTGATAAAGGAAAAAACTGGGAAGCTGCAGGACTGTCTTGCAGAAAAATAGGTACTACTGCCTGTTGCAGCAGTCAAATACTGACTCTTCACAAATGCTTTAACTCAAGTCCACAAAACCCCACAAATTTTGGCCTATACAGCCTTAACAGATACTATTTTAAGTCATAAACTTGCAATAACAGCTAGCATCTCTGCTATCCCCACATAAGCAAAAAGATCAAATTAATCCAAACTGCAGTCAAAGTCTACAAGAATACACTAGAAACAAAAGCTGCTAAAGAAAGCTAAATATTATGGCTACCACACCCCCAAATAAAATATTCTCTTTTGCTTTGGTTTCCCTTCAGCCACATCTAACCTCATTTTCCATTTTTGAAATCCTGTTGTATGCACTTTTGTAAAAGTATTAATAAAATGGGTAACAATCTACTGTGACATCAACCAGAGAGCAAGGGAAATATTTTACTAAAATATTTCACTTGATTAACCTGGGTATTATTAATTTCCACCTTTGAAAAAATAAAGTGAAAGAGAAAATCACTCAGTCCTGTCAAACTTTTTGTGACCCCATGGACTATACAATCCATGGAATTCCCCAGCCCAGAATACTGGAGTTAGTAACCTTTCCCTTCTCCAACGGATCTTCCCAACCCAGGAATTGGACCAGGGTCTCCTGCATTGCAGGTGGATTCTTTCCCAACTGAGCTATCAGGGATTTGAAAAATATGTACATACTAAAACCACAATTTGCTTTTGTTTTAAACAGTTTTAGAGCAGTAGACACTAAACAAAAGGTTCCCCATAAATAAGACTCCCATAAATAAGACTGATAAATTACTAACTCACAAGAAACATGTATTCTTAAACAGTACTGATTTTTTTTTTTTTAAATCTCAGAATAAACAGTAGTTGAATGTGTTAGGAGATGATGATTGCCAGCTTCCACTAAAGGAAGAATCCTGTGACTGAACAGAGGGGCAGTGGGAATCATTTAGATACCAGCTCCTGCCTACTGAACAAAACTCTTTAAAACTATCAAGTAGGGAAACTGAACAAGAAGCTTTACCTCCACCGCTTCTACTGCCTCAAAACTGACCACAAAGACCCTTATATGCAGTCCTAGAAAGGAAGGAATTTCATAGAAAGATAAGTAAGATCTGAAGGCACTTTTAGTTTTCTTCTCAGTTCATTTACAAATTAAATATTTGTGTAATTTTTTTCATGCTGTCACTGCCTATTCATCAACCATAACTTCAACATGTCTATCTGTTATATTGAATTTCTTAATCTCCCATTTCAGAACCTCAATAATCTCAGCCTAAATTTCATAAATGTGGACCCTCTCCTTCAGAGGGCCAGTTTACCCTACCATTAGATCCTTGTCAACTCCACTTTTAAGCTCCCCACCCTCCTACACCTATCCAAGTATCAGGGCCAGCTCAAGTCCCTCCTCTGTTCATAAAGTCTTCCTCAACAACTTCAATCTCTCTCTAAACTTGAGTACTGGCTATATAAAACTCAACTTTGCACTTTAAAACAAATATGTATGATGTTATATGTTGTGTTCTTTTGACATAGTCTGAACTCATCTGCAATATTAGTACATTTTGAAATAAAAGATCTCATTTTATCAATCTTATTTCTCCTCAGCACTCTACAAGAGGGCAGACCTTATATGGAACCAGAAATGCACACGCGTTTGTTGCTGATGAAATTATTTGTGCAATGGAGGCACTTCCAACAATTCATTCAGCAAGGCCAAAAAAGCATGCCCTAATTCATCTGGTTTCTTAATTTAGATTCTCATATCAAGTTTTCTAAATGCAGAACACCTGCATTTAGAATATCTACAGAATACTTCTCTGTGCTACTTATACATTGTTATCAAGTCAGTTTGAGAAGTGATTATCAACTAAAAGAAACGTAACAAAACTCAAAGACAAAACTCCATCTGAAGTCCCTTTTGTATTTCCCCCAGCACAGTCCTATGGTGCACAGTAAGCACCGGGTAAAACACGAACTGACAAACTTTCATCTACTAACAACCATAATCCCCAAATGCTAAACCTGGGGTACCCAACTCACTACAACAGTCTAGTACTTTAGCAATCCCTTAAGAAGCTGATTTTAATGAGCCTAATTCTGAAAAATTTATATTCTAGGATCCTACCTTCAGCTGCCAAACCCTGAAAAACTAAAAATAAGCAAGTGGAGGGAATTCCTTGGCAGTTCAGTAGTCAGGACTCTGCACTTTCACTGCTGAGGGCCCAGGTTCAATCCCAGATTGGGGAACTAAGACTCTGCAAGCTGCCAAAGCAAGCTGACAGCGTGTGCATGCATGATCAGTCACTCAGTCCTGTCAGACTCTTTGCAAACCCCTGGACTGTAGCCCACCAAGCTCCTCTGTCCATGGAATTTTCCAGGCAAGAATACTGGAGTCGGTTGCCATTTCCTACTCCAGGGGATCTTTCCAACCCAGGGATCAAACCCCTATGTCCTACATTGGCAGGTGGGTTCTTTACTGCTGTGTCATCTGGGAAGCCCAAGCTGACAGTAGACTATGTCAATACTATTATTTCACAATATAGTTCTTTAATGTGTCACCAGAATGAACTCTACCACTGCCATCTACCATGTACGACACATTATGTGCAGACTTGTGCCAGCCTCTGTGAGGAAAAAAGAATGAGACCTCTACTCTCAAGAAGTCAAAGAGCTCATAAAGAAGATGTAAACAACTAGTAAGACTGTAAAAGTCATCAGTGAAACAAATGCTGTAGAAGGGAGCAGAAGAGTGAAGACTGAAAATCTTCACAGGAGCTACTGAAAAAAGTTAAGAGTGCATGTAGCTACAAAGATACTAGGTTGGGGAAAGGTACCAATCCAAGTATACAGACAATCAAAGTCTCAGCACGAATGAAGCTCCCAGGTGTTTTCAGAGAGGAAGAGGCAGCTCCTCTGACTGCCCACAGCCAAGAGTGCAAAACAGGATTACAAAATACTGGGGCCATAGCAGAAGTTATAGCATTTTCACACATTTGCTGTTTACAAGGCAACTACAAGCACTAAAGTTTTAAGAATTTTTTTAAAGGGAGATTGGGGAAGGCCCCTTCATATGATCTCCATGAACCTGCTCTCTAAGGACACAAAGCAGTTTATATTACAACTCAACAGTGAATTTCAAACAGGTTATCCATACAAACTCACTTTAGGTTTTCAGGGCATCCACCTATTTACCAGTATGAGGACTTAAAGATGAGTTAATGTGACCTTAAGATGACAGCACAAGGTCCATCTATTTATTCAGAATGCTGCCCATGGGTGGAATGGGTAGGAGTTGTAAAGTCAGGGTGGAACTCATTCACTGGTTATGACAGCCAACAAGCGATTAAAACACACATTGAAATGCTATAATTTCAAGTTTTGAAGGCTTGCTGATAAGACACGTCAGCTTATAAATAGCATTCAAAAATCCATGTATGGGTAATAACATCATATTTATAGAAATAAATATATCCTTCCTAAAAAGAAACAGAATAAACTAAAATGATGTGTAAAATTCAGTTCTGTACTTAAATATGCACTGTCTCAAAACATAAGTCCTCAATGAAGCATTTAAATGATCAACTATTTCATGCAAATAATGGACAATTAAATAATGTGAAGTGGCTTGCCCTAATTTTTTAAACATGATTCAACATAACTTGCAGTCTCTAAAATATGTATCAAGAGATTAAAGAAGAAAACTCCAAAAAATCTCGTTAGCATAACAGTGATCCAAAATGCTTATCAAAACAAATCAAATAGGACATTACATTAAATCATTACAAAATATTTTCACTTTCAGAATCTTATTCTCACAACTTATTCCTTCAGTAAACATTAAAAGAGTCTTTACTATGGGACAGGCCCTGTGCTTGCTTCTATGGATAAAAGAGGAAAGACTAACTTCAAGAAATTCATAATCTACTAAGGAATACTATTCTATACTCAAATATCTTCAAGTAGAACACCCACACACATTATAAAAGTATATGTGCTGGGTAGGACAGTGTTAAATAAATGAGGCAGTAGTGGTCAATGCAGGGATGAATCAGAGGAATAAGGGCTGTGTTCCAATCCATCTTTGTAGCCTGATCTGAATACAGTGCCGAGCACTGATATGGTGGCCATAACCACATTTTTCACATTAGGCACCTGAAGTTCACAAAGGTTGCATTATTTGCCCAAGGTCACAAACACAGAAAACACATTGCCAGAACTGGAACCCAAGTCTTCTACCTTCAAATCAGATACTCACTTTAACAGCACTGTTTCTTAATGAAAGATGGGAGCAAAAGGCAACTTTTTAACTCTAGGCCCCTAGAATAGCTTTTTAAATCAAGCATAACTCCAAAACTGACTATTAACAGCTTCTCGGCACACTCAAGACAAAATGGATTAAGTCTAAATAATGGACTACTCGAGTAGCTTTTTCTTCTGGCCAATCCAGTTTACTGAAAACTACAAGAATCACAAAAAAGACCTCAAAGTCCTAGGAGAAAAACTATCGAGTAGATTTATCTCAATCTAGAAAAGAACTTCTTTTGCCCATACCCCGAAACTAGCAATAAATTGGGATAGTACTGATTAAGATTTTATTAAAGAACTGCATTTATAAAAATCCAGGACATTAGCCAAGTTCTACTTAAATACATATCAAAAGACTGGCTCGATATTAGTATACAGATCTATTTACCATAAATAACAGCAAGCACTCACTGTGTACAAAGAAATCTAGCAGACCAGGTAGAAACTAAAGAACAATTTGCTAGGGGTTTATGCCTTTAAGAAATCTATATAGCACAGTTTTCTAAACTACACCCAGGCACTAAAAAAAATTAAAAATTAAAAAAAAAAAAACCAAACGTAAAGCTAACATCACATGTTAAGCACTTAAAGCACCAAGATTATATAACAACCTACAAATTATATGTCTTATATAATATTCACCAAATTCTTACCCTTCCACCCTATCCAGGCACTCTGATGGCACAGCAGTCAGGAAGATGTGAGACGCTGACCACTAAACTAGACAGTACCCTGAGAGACTTGCTGAAGCCAAGAAACTTTACAAGCAGGAAGACTGGCTGCAGCTGGCATGGCCAGGCTGCCATTATCACTCTGGAGTGGGAAGGAAAACGGGTGTTATTTTCAATCAGGTTTATGAGTACACCTTCAGGCAAAACAGAAGGACACTGAGATAATCCTTGCCCTCAGGAAGCCTATAATCCAGTGAGGGAAACAAAAGCAATGCTTGTCAACAACCCTAGCACTATAATCCCCAAATGAAGCATATATAGATAACAAAGAAATAAAAAGGAAAGACCCTGGGGTAGAAATTTTTGAATAAGTACTTGTGAGTTGAAGTGAACCTAAAATGACTCAAAAGAAGGAAAAAGGCATGTCAGGCTGGCAGATCAAGAACCTGAAGACAACAAGCAACCTGAAAAGCAACAAGCAGATTACTTTTTCAGTTTGAGTCCATCCAATTACCTCACCAAACATGCAAAAAATAAATGGGCAATTGGTGTCAGTTTGTTCGAAAAGATTCCCACCCACATTCCCTTAATAGAATTAAAAACAAAAACTCCCCCAGATTCTGTAAAAGAAACCAGACCAAGATTCTGAAATACTTTTCCTTAATTGTGGTGGTCATTTAGCTGCTAAGTCGAATCCGACTCTTGAGACCCCATGGGATTTTCCAGGCAAGAATACTGGAGTGGGTTGCCATTTCCTTCTCCATCCTTAATTGTAGTGTCTGATATTACAAAGTCAATTTCATAAAAGCCACGAACCAGAACAGGAACAAATTTTTTCAACAATAAAAACACGAAGCAATCTGTCTGAACTTTCTCTCAGCAGAATTAACAAGGTATGGTGAACAAGCATACCGCTGCAAAAAAAAGTAACATTATCAATTGGGGTCCAAGTTCCACTACCAATTAAGCAGCAATTTCATATTATAAAGTGCTATAACTTCCTATCTCCAACCTACCTTACATTGACAACCTTCCACCACTGCAACTGATGAAAGTTTTTTGTAATTACCTCACAAAATAATATAATTTTCTAAAGCTAATGACAGTTGTCTTACACTTATTTAGCAGTTTGTATTTCTTCTCAGCCATTATATCCACTGGATCTCACAACCAACCAGTAGGTAAGAGAGAGATTATCCATTCCCATTTTACAGATTAAAACAAATGGAGATCAGATAGGGTTAGAGAATAACTCAAGGTCACACAGCTACTAATTGGCAGTGTTATGAATTCCTAGGCCAGCATGTGTCTTCTCTGCTAGGATGATGACCTCTGACAGGATCATACAACCATAGTCAAATAAAAATGCACTAATCTCAAAAGTTAGAATGGAAAAGTAAATATTACTTCAAATTTACTTTGCTAGGTGAAAGCATTGCTTTTATCCTGACCAAGCATCCTGTTCTTCACCATAAAAAATAATTTTGTTTAGCACCTTCAGAAACTCTAACTACCAACATGTTCTAACTTTTAGAAAGTAAATGAAAAACAAAATGCCTGTTTACAGACACAAAACAGTAAATGTCAGCTGAGCAGGCTTAAAAACCGCTCAAACTTCTGAAAAACTGGGAATGGAAGCAGTGATCATCTTAATTGTTGTTCCTGTTTAACGCTAACTACTCCTGTGACCCCATAGACCACCGTAGCCCGCCAGGCTCCTCTGTCCATGGGATTCCCCAGGCAAGAATACCGGAGTGGGTTGCCATTTCTTTCTTCAGGGGATCTTCTCTACCCACGGATTGAACCCAAGTCTCCAGCACTGCAGGCGGATTCTTTACTACTAAGCAACCAGGATAACCTTAATTACCATTCTTCAATTCTTATGGATACTGGCACATTCATAGAAAGGGTGATGTGGACAAAGCCCACGACCCTCAGCCATTTTAATGTGCTCTCTCTAAACTCCAAATAAATGAAATAAAAACTCCCCGATTTCACAAAGATGATATAGAAGCCACACGAGTTCAGTACTTCTGAGGCTGAACGTGGAGCAGGAAGTTTCTAAAACAATTAGAAATGGGTTAGAAATGTGTTTACTCTAAAATCCACACTTAATACTGACTTCTTTGCATGCTCTCTGTATGAAAAAAAATAATAAGCCTCAATAAAACCCTCTGCCATGTACTGTTTTTAAACGTCTGATAATTACACTCCATAGCCCTAACTGCTGCCCCCCCCCCCCCCCCCCCCAGAAAATGCGAGACACACACTCGCTTCACATATAGGCCTCTTGCCTTCTTCTCTAACAACTAGGACCTTTGTTCCAAACGTCGGTTTTTTACCCCACTCAATAGCTCTTTCAAGTTTCTACCCCGTATTTTTTTTGTTTTGCTTTTTTGAGAGGAGATTCTGAGCCTCAACTTGCCAGGTCTTTTTAACAAATGAAACGCCAAAAATAGCTAGATACTGGAGAGGAATAGAAAGTTCAACAACACACCACAGAAGGGCCTACAAAACCGAGGAAAGCCCGGGGATCGGGTGATCTGGCAGCCCAGGCAAGACCGGGGCAGGCCGACGAGGAGGGGAGACAGCAGAGGAGCAGTTAGACGTCCACTGGGAACAGGCCCACTGCCCCACTAAACGCCCCCCACCCCCGCGCCCCATTCCACACACACCAACGTTCCTCCTGACACATTCTGTCCCCCAGTTACCCGACGAAGCAATGAAACCATACCCACCGCCAGACACCGGGCTTAAGCTAAACCTCTCCCTCAGACAAAGTTAAAAAAAAAAAAAACGGCATTATCAAAAACAAACAAATCTGTCTTAAGGGTTTAGGAGCAGCCCCTTCCGTCCTCTTCTCGCCACACGGGGCACCCAATTCCCTCTCGTTCCCGTCCCCCTGCAGGAGTTCAAATGTCTAAGCTACCCCTCGACCTCCCGCCACGATTTGCCTGTGTGTTTAAATCTTTTTTTTTCTCTTTCTCCAGCAAATGAAAAGATTTCGCTTTTTTCTGAGGATGGGACCGACACGGAGAAAGGACAGGATGGGGGACGCTATCACCTCCGTTATTTGCACTCCCCTCTAACTTGTTCCACAACTGGAAACCCACTCACTGTGGAGGAGGATGGAGAGAGGGTGAACTGAACGGACAGACGTTATAATAGGTTTTATGTAATCCACATATAAATAAATTAATCGCCTGGCTCGCTTTGAATACTAATACGACAGGAGTGACAACCGGTCCACCTCCCTCCCCACAGGTCCTAACCCCACCCCCACCCCCAATTTCCACGCCGATCAATGGAGAAGGATGCTCCGCTCCCCTCGGTCAAGTTTCTCGGCCTGTTTCACGCCGCCCCCCGCCGCCCTCTCCGCGTCCCCACTCCGTCAAGCCTCAACTTCCCACGGGCTGAAAAATCAACTGCCCAGCACAGACCCCCGGTCTGCAGCCTGGCCCGCCCTCACCCGTCTCCCCCCCCACCCCCACCCCCCACCGTCAGCAGGAAACCTCTTACTGCGGTCTAAAAGTCACTCCGGCCGCTCCCTCCTCTGACCCTCGCTTCCCACAACTGTTGTCACTCGAGCTGCTCCCTAGTTTCCATTTCCGGGCCGTTCTCTGGCCCCGGAGCTTCCCCTCTCCCGGTTTCCGGGCCCCCCATCCCATTTCCGGGGAACCCTAGCCGTCTTTCACACCCCCCACCTGCACTTCCGGCCCCCCACTTTCTGTCTTCCTAGACGCCCTCAGCGCTCCAAAGCCCACTTCCGGCCCCCCCGACACACACGACACCCGCCGGGCTCCCCCAGACCCCGCACGCCTTTACCCCCCAGGTTCCGTGAAGGGGCCCTCCTCACGGTTGGCGGGGGGGGGGGTACCCAGCGCCCCGCCCCCCTCACCCCTCACCCCCGACTCCCGCCCAGCCCCGGGTCCCCTCCAGCCGCGGTCTCTCTCCCTCGAGCGCCTAACCCGTCAACCCCCTGGCCCAGTCCTTCCGCGGACCCGCCGCCGCCGCTGCCGCCGAGAACAGGCCGAGCGTGGGGGTCGGGTGGGGGGGAGGACCAGAATCGCGGTGATGACACAACCGGGCTTCCTGAGACTTTCTGTTCCAGCTCCTCCCCGCCGCCACCGCCACCAGCACCAGCACCACCATTACCCCCCCTTCAACCCCTCAACACAGCCCCCTCTCCCCCACCCAGGCCTGGCCCCGCCGCCGCTCGGAACTGCGCCCCAATTACCTAGTTGGGCCCCAAAGTCTCCGGTCCGGACTCGGTGGCGCGGCAGTTAACTTCCTCCTCGCTCCCCCCACCCCCCCCAAGCGGCGGCGGCGGCGGCGGCTCCTCGGGTCCCTTCAATTATCAGCTGAGCCGCAGCACCGCTCCCGGCGTGCGCCTCCGCCCGCGCCGCCTTCTTCCCTCCCCGCCCGTTCCAACACCCTCCGGGAACTATTTTGGCCGCCGAGGCTCGGACAGACGGTGCTCGTCCGCGGGACAGGCCCCCCGCTGCCTACTCGCGGCTCCTCACATCGCCCCTCATCCCCAGCGGCCTGCGACCTCCTCCCGATCCCTTCGAGGGACCAGGAAGGGGAATGTGAGACATCGCTTGATATCCCTCCGCCGGGGTCACCGCCGGGCTCGACTTTCCCCAGCGGCCTGCGACCTCCTCCCGATCCCTTCGAGGGACCAGGAAGGGGAATGTGAGACATCGCTTGATATCCCTCCGCCGGGGTCACCGCCCCCCCCACCCCGCCTTCCCCACTCTCCCCTCGGTGGTAGCAGGAACTAATTCCCCTCCGGGTCACCCGGGACCTCAAGGTGGACATTTCACGGCTCAAGAGTTCCTCCCAATCCTCGGATGAAGGGGATAATCACCCGCAAACCTAGAAACACCCCTCGAGCTCGAAAGTAGGGTTCGATTTTTTTTTTTTTTAACCACGGCTGTGGCCCTCGTGACCCCAGGCAGGCCCCACCCCTTCCTGGTTGTCTTAGCGACGGCGGTGGCGTCCCAAGATGGCGTCGTGGCTGCCGGAGACTCTGTTCGAAATTGTAGGACAAGGCCCAGCGCCGAGCAAAGACTATTACCAGTTATTGGTCACTCGGTTCCAGGCAAGTGCGAGCCGCGGTTTCCCTTCCTACCAACTCTCCGCCCGCCCCGGCGGAGCCTGGAAGGCGAGCCGCGCTAGGCCCGAGAGCGACCGGTCGTTAGCCGGAAGCGCCGGGTCCCAGCTCCGAGCCGGGAGATTTCCCCTCGTCACCTCAATCTCCCGTGCGGGCCCAGCCGCCCGCGTCGTCCCTTGCTCCCAACCCCCAGCCCCGCTCGTACCCGGCGAGCCTTCTTGGCCTCCTCACAACGCCGCCCGCTCCCTTCCCGCCACCCGGCGTTCCTACCCGTCGAGTTCCCTCCGCGCGAAAAGAAAAACAGTCGTCCGCGGCTTGCGTGCAGTGTCTCCGTCAGCGTGGGAAGGAGGGAAAGAAAAGACTCAGTCAAGTGTCCCGAGGAGAAGCCGGCCAGGGAGGGGAGAAAGGGAGAATTTTTTTTTCCAGGGTAGGGTTTAATTACGGGAGATTTTGTACATCTTATCGCGGGCTTTTACGTGTATACCGAGGCCACATCAAAAAAACAAAAACAAACTTCCTTGTTTTGGGGAGGAATTGAGCGTTGGGAGCTTTCCCCTTACCTTTTTGGAGCCCCTTCTATCCCATGGGAAAGAGCGCGGGGCTGGGGTTGGTACAAAAATGTTTCAGCTGCTCTGCGCGTCAGCCCCACCCATAAATGACATCTGCTCTACAACAATAAGACCGCGGATTATGTTATCGCTCGAGTAACCATCGGCCTATTTTCCTGACTACTTGAGCTGTTTAAGGTGGGCTTTCGTGAATGATTTATTGTGCCCACGAAACTTATAAGTTGAACTGGGCCTCCACTCGGAACTCGTTTTCTGATTTTCTCGCTGAGTTTACTTAACACCTGTCACCGCGATATTCGTGCACCTTGCGCTTTTCCTAGATGGTATTCCTGTAAAATGAAATTTAGAATTCTGTATAACGTACTTATTTTGGTGCACGTATTGATTGTTTCATCAGTTTTTCCAAGAGCACTTCAATAAAATAAACTGACTTGTAGCTTCAAAAGCATCTTTTAAAAAAGGAATAATGTGTATTTTACTTTTGTATCTAAGATTTCTAAATATTACATGCGTAATGTCAATATTACAAACGTGATAGCCTGTCGAACTTAAATTTTTCGTTAAACACTTTATAAGAAATGTTTGCCCATGGAACTGGGATTTCCTAAAAGCTGCAATTTACTTGCTTTGTACATTTATTTTAGGATTGACTATTTTACATTTGCTTTAAGATGTATGATCCTGACAGTTCTTCACATCTAACATGAACGATTGAAAACAGTATCATATGTAGTCTGACTTCATTTTCTATTTTATCTACTTCAAGTAAGTTAGAATGTTATGATTTTCAATTTACAGTCATTTCCGTAACTTGTCTTTAAAAATTGTTTTTGAGTGTTTCTTTTCCTGTTATACTCTATGTTGTAAGCCTCAACAAACTGAATTACTGTTTACCTTTGTCTTTTTTTTAGAAAATTAACCATAGGAGTCCTCCTGGTATTGCTTTCCCCCAAGAATGGTTCTGTTGTTGGTGTTCTTCAGACTTTACTCCCTGGTCTAACTTGGGCACATGCCTTCCTCCAACTACTCTCATGAAATTTTCTTGCCCCACCCCCCAATATTATTCTTTTTTTTCTTTCTTTCTTTCTTTTTCTTTTTTTTTTTAAACACATCAAAAGACTCTTGTCTATTTCAGGCCCTATATTTTTTCTCTCTGTTGCTTGTGTATAAAATTCTTTTCAAGTTCTGATCCCTTTATTTTTTTAAAGCAGACTGAGTATATTCAAGTTCTGCCAGTGAGAGTTAATGTCAAATGTGATTAATTCACTCTCTTGTTAAAGTAAAACTTGTAAAAAATAGTAAACCCCCAAAATAGTCTTTTCAGTCAAAGGTCTTGAGTATATGTTATTTTCTAACCACAATATAATTTTTCTAAGTCTCAACCCAGGAAACTAAACATCCAGTGAGAGATGATCTGACATAAATAAGTACTAAAAGACTAGAATTACAATGTCTTTTATAAAATGGACTTTTTTCTTGAGTGACTTTTTAAAATTGATTACTGTGCATTTGTTCTCTCACTTTCTTTCTGCCTTTATTCCCCAAAATGATGTATATTATCCAAAATATGCTCCAGATTTAAATGGATGCTTCTTTTACTGTGATTCCGTTTTTTATTCTTTTTCATTGCTTTTATTTTTGTTTGCTTTAAATCCAAATAGCTGCACATTTGACTTGGATTTAAAGGCACATAAATCTCTCATTAGAGCATCATACCATTGTCATAGTCCAAAATATATAAATATTGTACGTTAGTATTTCCTTTGTCTTCTTGCTTATACAGTGACATCAAATAATGCTTGTAGAGACATTCCCGGTTAACAGCTTGATGCCATGATTTTTTTTTTCTTTCAAAAAAGGAACTTAGAGAATATAGCTTGAGGTTAATATAGCTTAATTCTCAAATCTGATCTTTTTAATGATGATCCAAAGGCGTAGAAAAATCAGTGTCCTGCTTTCTAAATCAAAGATTTACCCAAGTATTCCTATTCTAGTTTTAGTAGTACATATTATATTGGGTTCTCATCCTTTGAAAACTAGCAGATTCATAGTTAGGGCCAGAAAGAATCTTGAATATAGTTCAGACTGGGGGTATTTCATTTAGTTTCTAAGAAAGTCTTATGTTTCTAAATGAAGATCCTTCGCTTTATTTTAAATCAGCAACTTGTAATTTATTGTGGGGATGCAAAATATAAGAGGATTCCTGCCTTAAAAGAGTTTACCATTCCTTTAACGAAAATTGAGCACCTTTTATGTGCTAGGTACCTTTCTAGATTCAGAGAATCATCAGTGAACCAAACAAAGCCCCTCCTCTCCAGAAGCGTATAGTCTAGTGGGAAGAATATAGGTAAGTGACTTGTTTTCTATAAACACTCCAATGCTTTAGCTTTCGTTTTAAGTACAAAGGAGATTCTTGAGGAATTGCCAAAGTTAATGAATAGCTCAAACATTATAAAATCTATGAATCCAGAGGAAGCAGTAATCACTTTAGACTATGAGGTGCAGGAGAGCACTATGACAAGTTTTTTACTCTTGAAATTCTGTTTTATTTGTCCCCTTGAAATAGAAGTGTTGCTTAAGGTGGTCAGAACTAGTGACTTGGGTTTAATGTGACAAATACTGGAAAACTGCTGGAAACACTAACCGTGTGCTAAGTAGATAAGAGTTAGCAGATATGGCCTGTTGCTCCTAAAAACAGGTGGTTGCCCCAAGAACACAAGTATGTTATAGTCACTCCAGCAGATGAAAGAAGGATGAAGAATTATGAAATAGATTAGTCTTATTTTATCTATCTCATTAAATCTTAGAACTCCCAAAAAGACACCTGAAGCTAATGTCACCTGGGAAAAAAAAAAAAAAAAAATCTGAAAACTCACTCCCCCAAAGTAGCAAATATTTTTGACATGCTTTAGAGCTGGAGCGCTGATAAACTGAAAACACCTGAGGTCCCATGCCAGTCTGGGACAGGAAGCTTTCATATCAGTGACTTCTGAAAAAGGAATTAAAACTAGACTTGGTGGCACTTGTTTGAAAGAGACTTCACAACAAAGAATTGTGTTGCTGACACTTCAATCCACTGACCGATTTGAAAGATTTAAAATTTAGTACTGTCTAATAAAAATGTCAATCCAAACACCCTTTGGCCTAGCATATCCATATCTAGGATTTTATATCCAAAAATATTTTGACATGTGTACAAGGATATGTGAGCAAGAATGTTCACCAGTGCTCACTTAGGCAGCATATATACTAAAATTGGAAGAATACAGAGAAGATTAGCATGGCCCCTGCACAAGGATGACACACAAATTCTTGAAACATTCCATATTTTTGTTTGACAGAAAACAATAAAATTTTGTAAAGCAATTATCCTTCAATAAAAAAATTAATTAAAAAAATCACACCCCCCAAAAAAAAACAAAGAATGTACACCAAAGTAAAATAATTGTGAAAATATCTTTCCATAAACTACTATCCAATCTTGGGACTTCCCAGAAGGTCCAGTGGTTAAGACTCCACCCTTCTCAGGGGCAGGTGTTTGATCCCTGGTCTGGGAACTAAGATCCCATATGGCACAAGGCACAGGCGAAAATATAAAAAGATGAAAAATATGCAGTCTTTTGAAAAAGATGTGATAGATCTCTTATTTTTTCAGT